TGTGTGTGTGTGTGTGTGTGTGTGTGTGTGTGATTATTTAACCTCTCTGTACTGTCTCCAATCTCTCTTTCCTACTCCGATCTCACACGTTTACTCGCATACATGTCACATGCATACTCATATTCACACCCTCACACACACACGGCCATGTAACAGATATCCATTACATGGTCGTGTGCATCTGTGCAGATATATATTTATTCATAAGCTCATTAGAGAAGTGGATCTGTCAGCCACTCTCAGTCGGCCGCTGACAACAGAACCACAGCAGAAAAATCCCTGGGATTTAGTCTTCTGGAACCTGTTCTGTTGAGAGGATTTAGTCCAATAGACAACGACACCACACCATTTCACAGAGGTGAGGTCTGGGTGGCAACATAACACAAACAGTAATCTCCCATCCACAGTGGTTTATGTTATTGATATTTTTGGGTAGAATAGAGAAATAGGCAACGACAGTCACTAAGGAAGGAACAGATGTTTAGAAGTACACCTCAGGTAAAAAGTCTAATATGTACTACTGGATGTAAACTGTTGACATTCAGTTTATAAGGTACATCATGTTGGTCATCTGGTTCTCTCTCAGCGCTGCCTTGCCTCCACTGTGACGTATGAACATCACTAGAAGTGCTAGCAGTCGACCCTTAAGAACTAACCTCAGAAGATTTGAAACTGTGATTATTATGGGATGGACCTGATGAGGGTCAACTTTCTGATCATGGGATCCAGCAATGATGCTTCTGATGTCAACCTCAGTTGTCCTGTCTACGTATTTAGTTAAAATGAGTTGCTACAGGTTGGATATTTTCATTGCCAGTTGAACATTGTACCTAATAGTGAGTAAACATGTGAGCATGTCCTTTATTTTGCAGTTGTGCTGTCATATTTTAGCACTAACTCTTCACACACACACAACATGTCACTTTTTTTCTCCAAGCTAATGAAATCTGTCCACAACATGTCACTTTTTTCTCCAAGCTAATGAAATCTGTCGCAACTGTGTCGGTGCAGGTGCAAGAGCAGCTCAGTGATGTGTGGCAGGTTCAACAGAGAAATCTGTTTCTGATTGGAGGAGGGACTGACCTGTCTGACTGCTGCTCACCATTTCAGTGATCGAGGCTGCGTTTTTTAATTGCTCACACTTTCAGGAGACAATACAACACGTCAGGACAGATCAGGTTTGATTGTGATTGATCCATGGATACCTCCCCTCTCTTCCCCTCTCCTTCCCTTTCTTCCTCTTCCTCGATGTCAGTTGACGGTTGTCACTGTGGAAACTCACTCACACACACACACATACACTGTCTTACAGAATATTATCTGGGTGTGTGTGTGTGACAGAGGGTGAGACAGAGGGGAACACACTCACAGACCCAGCTCTGACAGAGAACTTCCTTCTCCTCTGCCAAGTAGATTTTGTCATGTTTGTTTGACTGACTGTGTTGAGTGAGCGATCGCAATATCTCATATCTCCACAGCAGACGAGGGCGATTAGGGGTAAAGTTAGAACATGAGACAAAGAACCAAGTCATTAGTTTTGCTGCTGATACGAATCAGGGAACAGATCGCAACAAGAACTTAGTTTAATTGAAAATAACATTGGTCTTTTATTATCGTTCCACACTGCAGAATACCTGGCTTTGGTTTCTCAGTATCTTTGTCTCGTTGGAGATCTCCAGGACTGGCTCACTTTGGTTAAAAAAAAGATTTGAAAGAGATTTAGGGCAGTGGTCCTCGGCCGCTCAAAAAGCTGCCCACTGTTCACTTTGGTGATGGGTTAAATGCAGAGGTCACATTTTGTTGTGTTCAGTGATATGTGTCATAATGACAAGGAGTTCATTTTCCTTCCTTAAAAAAAAAAACTAGACATTGGAGACGGCAGTGGATGTCATGTGTTCTTTTGTAGGTGAAGGTTCCAAGTACTGCACAACATAGAGGTCTTTGCCTGTTCCACACTGATGTTGTTTTCACTGGCGGGTCAGGACCTATGGTTTTTCTGAATACCACACCCACAGCCGTCTCGGTGCCCATGGGTGTGTGGATGTTAAAACAAGGTGTGGTTGGGTGTATTGTTGGCAGATTGGTGTCTCAGGGCTGTGGAAACAGATTATGCTTTATTACCAACAAAAAGCCCTGGTCTGAAGTCAGTGGTGTAGGATATCAGGATTTCTTTTCCGCACCTCCTCAGACTAATAGTTTTGCTCTGCAGAGAAGCGGTTTGTCTCACTGGTGGAAAAATCTGCCGTTGTAGGCACAACGGCTCTTCAAGTGAAATAGGAGATGTGTTGCTGGCAGGCTTTTTGGCTTGGATGTTCGGTTTCACCCTTGAGGAGCTGTGCATCCTCAACCTTGCAACAACTGTGATTAAAAAAACAAGACTGTGAATATAACCATTTCATATCAAGTACATATGTGTGATGCCTAATACATGTGTTTAGACCAGAGTTTAACAGTCTCCAGGGCAGTGGGTCAATAGGAAAATGAAAAAATAAATTGATTACTTCTACTTTGTTTTATGTCGTGGTTTTATCATGTTTTGCTATGTTTTTCTTGACAAACTCTAACGACATAAGAATATTATCTGACCTGATACATGTCCGTGGTGATGACCCCAGCCTTAGATCATGCTCTTATTTTGTCGATAAAGGGCATTTGTCAGGTGCAGATGGTGTGAATGATGAACTGTTCTCTGGAGGGGTGATATATGATATTACGGCTATTACATTCACATTTAACATCAATTGATTTCACATTGTGAAGCTACAAAACATGACAAAAGGACAAAACTAAAGGCAAGGTGGAGTTTAGACTACAGTTGGATTTAACCATCTCTAACTAAGATGGAAACTTAGCATGTTTTAATATAGTCTGTGTACTACAGTACCAAACCATAAAGAACACAAATTTGATATGTTTTTTCTTTTTTAAAGAAGGCGATTCTATGAGCTTGCAAATGCATTTATTGTTTTTTTTTTTTAATAAAATAGAATTTATTTGTTGAATAAAATTTTTCAGACTGGGTGTCAGACAGTGATTCCACGAGCCAGGTCCAATTTGTTAGGCGTGTGTGTAAGTACCAATTAGTTTAAATCATCACATAACCGCAACACAAGTTGTTTTTTAACATTTGTTTGGGCAAATGTTCTCCAGTACTTTTAATTTGGTTCCTCACATTAACTTTTAATGCGATGGCGGAGGCCTTTGCTGCATTGCGATTTATTCGGACCTTATGAACACACGCACTGTGCAGTAAACTGGCATCAGTAACAATAATCTGCTCATTGTTCCAGAGTCATTGTTGCTTGAACATATGTTTCTGCTGCTCCTAATGACTTTCTACTTATCCTGCTCCGCTTGCGCACAATGCTGCAGCACTGGATGCCTTTGGACATGTGCACTCAGCCAAAAGAATGGATAGCACTTCCTAGAATGCGGCGAATAATCTATTCTAAACCCCTGACGATTACATAAACCCACATTAGTCCATTAAGACCATATTAGGCTTAGCCCATGTCCATCTCAAAACCTCACACATATAAAATGAGAACATTTAAAATGTGACCTTTACTTAATCTTGGTGATGTTGATTTAGTTTTTTTTTTTTAAATGGATGAGCCTCCAGTCCTGATTCCTAATTAAACAGTAGGCCTATTTATGTTTGGAAATACAGTATAACACCATACTGTTCATGCTTTAACATGAAACCTTGGCATGCAGGTCAAGTGGAATGGAGTGAGGAAAAGGAGGAGGTATATTTGTTTAAATGCAGCCATTACATCCACTTACAAAGGATTATCGTGAATAGATGGCGCTCTTCTGCAGGTGCTTTGTTGGTCTCACCTTCATGCATGTTCGTTCTAGCCTCAGTGGGCTCTTTCTGCAGTGGCAGCATATACATTCATGTTACTCTAAGCTGGGTAACGGGCCTCTGAATCCCCATGTCATTCTTAAGAACCCAGGAAAAGATCGTGTCACACCCCCCGCCCACGGCTTTCAACACATTCTCCCTCACTGTGAGCTTTTTGATGAAAGAACTCCACTGACTGTGCGCCTGAATCAGGCATAAGGACATTTGCAGCCTCAGTGTGAAAAACAGATATAAATGTGATTGGAAAATTTAGAACATTTTAGATAAGATTTAGATTTTTGTTTTGTAATCATGGTGTGTTTTACTGCGTTCCTGCACCACAGATTGATCTCCTATTACGAATGTCTGGTGCATCTTGAAGTCATCAGACGTCGGCGACCAGGGACTGTTGAGCAGCTCAAGGTTTGCTAAAGCTAGAATGGACAAAAGTGGCAGGTTCCACACTGTAGCTTTTTACCTCATAAAAGTTCAGATTTATTACAAAGGACTTCCGTTGTTATTGAACAGTGAGTGTACCAACCTTTCTGAAAAATGTTTCTGCACCTCAAGGCTATTTTTGGGGTTTCTACCTTTGTCAGTGTCAGGAGTGCCTCTGATGTTCTTCTCTGGCACTGGAGCTAACTGCACAGGGGACATATTGTGATATTTTTACTTTTTAATGTGTGTATTGGCTATGCTTGTGTACTAGTGTGCTCTGTTGCCAAGAACCTTGTGGGGCATTTTTTGTGTGTTTACTCACACCAATGCATACACAGCAGATTTTCAGAGAAAAATACTAGATGTCTACATTTTACACGTGTGCTGCCCTGAAGTTCATGGCCTCTCTGTCTTCCTCCCTTTCTGTCCTGTCCCTGTCACTTGTCTTCCTCCATCTCCCTTATCTCTGTGCGCATGTATGTGTCTGTCTGTGTGTGTGTGTGTGTGTGTGTGTGTGTGTGTGTGTGTGTGCACGTTGTCTCCTTCTCTATACATGTGTGTGTGCGCTTTCTGCTCCCAGCCCCTCTGCGGAAAGCAAAGTTTGTGGAGAGCCCTCGCATTCCACAATCAGAGCTTGGCTCCCCTACACACACCTCCACCACTGCCAAGAACCCAGACCTGGACATATACTGCCCTGGTAAGTGTTTTGGCCAAGTCATCCCTCATTTCTGTTGTTATTTCTGTTGGTTCCTGTGTGTAATTGCAGCACAGAGTGGGACACATTCAGTGACGATGAAAATGTGTTGGTTTGTTAGTTATTGCAGCCGCTGCTGTAAACACAGATCCACTGAGGTTGCTAATGAAATAGCCTCGCCAGTGCCCACTCTGTCCACCCTTGTTTCCTCCCACCTCTCTCTGCCTCTAATCATCCCTCGCGATGTTCCCACTCCGCTCTGCTTTCTTGGACACAGAGCTTGTTTAGGTGCTGCTGCAGTTTTTTTGTTCACTGTGGGCACTCGCTGCGTAATCCTGCAGACCATCTAGATTTCTCTCAAACACCCCCTTATCTGTGCCTGGCAGAACCCCTCATCCCTGCTCCTCCTCCCCTACTGGCATGGTGAGGACAGAAAAGCCGGTCATTCAAGGAAAGTGCTCTTGTGAGATTTGGGTCTAGTTCAGTCTATCTGCTTTCTCATCTCGCTTCTCCTCTTCCTGTTACTCCCGAGAAATGCAATATAAGTTTCCGGATCGGGATTGTTGGCTCAGTCACTGGTCGCTGTGTGGACTTTTACTAACATCCCAGAAATGGAAGACAAGACAGACACACTGATGGGATTTCAGAGCTGGACTGTTAAATTTGTTCAATTATAGTAAACTTTTAAAGATGTACATTAAAATATAATGTTGTTCCCTTTGGATGGATAAACAAATGCATTTTTGGTTGCATAATGAAAAAGAAAAAATCTTAAATATTTTATCAGGTAATATTCTTGAACCAACTTTATTCTGTTTGTGAAACTTTTAATAATTTAGAAATTCATATCTGTAGCTCAGGCTGAGCTGCTTTACTCCTACTGGACATCATTATCTGATTTACCTTGTTATGGTTGTTAGCTGGGGGTCAGGAATACACAAAGACTATGGTAGTTTGCAGCCTGAATCTTAAAAATTGAGATTATTTTTTTAAAAAGCCTTTTCTTTATATAATATGACATTTTCAGTCCTACTTTTCCTCTGTTTTAAATTAGTATTGGATGTACCATTACAAGAACATTTCAGTTAAAAAATCTTCCTCTACAAAAATATAAATATTTTATGAATAACCCATGAGCATAAGACTTTTAGCTCCTTCTTCCTGGTTTGCTGTATGTAGAAGCTGGTGGTTAGACATGATCGCTGAGCTGTGTGCAGCAGCAATGAGCTTCTGCAGATTTGACATTTACTGGGTTACAGCGGTGCTCTCTGCTGCCACCGAGGCAGGAAAACAGTTGACAAACGGCACTTCACTGTTGTGCATTGACAACCTGAGATGAGTTTTCAGGGGTGATGACTGGCGTCACCCAGGCAGGGAGATGGACATCTTAGCTCTTAACAAGGACATGCTGGCAGGATTTGCAGCAGGGCACCCTCTCCAACATCAGATTGCATTTTCTGTCCACACTCGGAAGCAGACTCTCTGGGAGTAAGTCGGTTACCGGCTGATTGTTATGGCCACAAATAAATTTGCTGGGTCATAAATATGGTTTGTGAATAATAAGTGAGCCGTCTCATAAAGTTCTCCAGCAGACGTTCCCTTTAAATAATGGAGTGAAAGCTTCTCCAAGGACGTCAGAGCTCAGCTTCATCCTACAGCCAGTAGTCAGAGGAGGTGTGGATACTACAGCCCACTGTTGTCATTTTGACCTTTGACATCAGGCCACCTACAGCAGGAACTACTGTGTACGGAGATTTGTTTGCCATTTGTTTTTTGTGTTATCTGTAAAATATTTGGTTTTGGTGAAATACATTTGTGTCTCTTACTCTGAAGACGTGATGTTGACAGCAGTTGGCAGCTGGAAATGTAAATGAGAATAGTAAACAATGTAAAGTAAACACACTGCACTGCCAAGTGTCGTGTACAAAAGCACAGGGACAACAGAACATGACCTGGGATGAGAGATATTTTTTAATGAACTAATATTTATGCATGTATGTTTTAACTTGTATGGGTTTATCATTATGATGAATTTGAATTAATGAGTCCAATAGTTGACAACACTGACTTAAACAGGACAATAGCCCTTGTTAAATATGTGAAGTGTATTTTTATTAGTTATTCTTTATTATGAAGTTTATTTTTTTATAATTATTAGGAAGTGGATCTACGTGTTCTCACACACACCGAATACTAAAATAAATACTTGAATACTGCAGACTTTATATTTAGAATGACTTTGCCTGGGCAGCCTGGGGGCAGAGTGAATAGGGTAAACACCACATGAGCACAATCCTCAGGGCACATCAGATAAACGCAAAAGACTAAAAATATATCCAGTGGGTTTCTTTGCATAGGGAAATGAATGCCACACTATTTATGTTGTCCTCTGACCTGAAGCTTTGACTTTTCTGGTTCCTTATTCTGTCAAATGGTGTCATTTAATTCCTATCCTTTCAGCAATTTTTTTTTGCCTCACCTTGAGCACACAGACCAAGTCTGTGTGCTTCTCCGTGGCCCGTGTTACAACTCTGTAGGTGAAACAGGAGCCTCCACTGTGTGTGTCTGTTATCTCACCTGCAGGCCAGGTCCATTTAATACTTTCCTCTGTCCTGTCCAGTCTCACATGCTGTCCTCTGCCGTGTAGTGTGCGTGAGGACTGCTCTGCGGACAGTCAGGAAGAAGCAGATGCGTTTGCACTGAACACACTCCTCGAACTGCGCACAAAGATAGTTGCTATGGCGACCATCTGTCTCCTGTGCAGCTCAAGAATCCGTGAGTGTGTGTGTGTTAAGGCGCACCACCACCACCATATATACGTATGGATTTAGTACATATGCATCATATAAATGTGTATTTTTGTTCTTTCTCCTGTCAGGATGTGATAATTAAGCATTATCTTATCTTGTCACTGTAATTAGACACAGAGATGCAGTTGTGGTGTCTTCAGTGTCCTGCAGCTTTCAAGCCCTGTCTGCACTGATGAAAGAAGACATGTGATTGTCATAATCTGTATTTAAAGAACAGAAGGTGGGGTTAAAATCAACCTAACATTATGTTAATGCATGAATCCCCTGCGACTGTGACTCATTAGTTTTGGTTCAAACACAGATGTTGATGTGGATAAAATTGTCCCTGTTCATCACCATATCAAAGACTTTGAAAGAGCCTGATAGGAGGTATTCATGATCATAGTTACCCTGACAGGCATGTCTTGTTTTTTTTTTTCTTGGTAATAATTATACAATAGGATTAAATTCTATTTTGACTATGAGAGCAAATGACTGTGGGTTCAAAGGTAATTTTAAATTGCAGATAGAAAAAAGAAAAGGAAGACAAGGAGTCATGTAGCTACAAAACCAACCTTTCAACCTCATGCTCAAAATATCCTTACAAGTACTGTACAACATAAACATGTTTATAATAAAAGACGTCTATAATTGTGTAGAGCCATACCTCTGTTTTTGTCAGTGTGGTCTGTAGCGCTCGCTCGTACAACGCTGTTATACAGTAGTGGCCAAGACTAAGCAATGTCTGGAATCAATCCCACATCCTTTGATTAAAAGACAGCTGCGCTACCCACTGATCCACGGCATTATTATTGGAAGAATTGGCAGGAACTACAGCAAAGGTTCGATTTCCCTTTCCTTTTCCTCAGCTCAACAAATGTTCTACTCAGCCAGAGAATGTCCCTTGACACAGGGTTCTAATCAACAGCACTTGGAAGAAAAATGCCCTTTAAATCCTACCACGTCTTGGATTTTCACAGCAGTCAGGAATCGGAAGGAGAAAAGGGGGAGGAGCCAACGTGTCAGCTCAGTGTCTTCTATCATGTTTGTGAAATGTCTTAATATAATTTCAACTATATTTCCACATCAACATAAACTACATAACATCCAAAAAATAGTGACATCGAGGGCAACTGGACGGAGTAGATGTTTTTTTTCTTTTTTTAAGACGTTTCACCTGGAACATTTTGAAACGTCTTCAAAAACAATAAAAACCTACTCTGTCCAGTTGCCCTCGATGTAACTATTTCTTTGGATTAAATGACCTGGATGACTGAGAACCTACACAGACAATCTATGTAACATTTTTTGTGTGGCAGGATTGAAGTTTGCAGCAAATGTGTTCAGTGAATTTGAACTGGACTTGGCGTAGGTTCACTGTTCCTTTCAAGACACTGAGTCAACTCACAGGCGGCACTGGCTTTTTATTCTATCATGTTGCGTGTTACTTGATGTTATATTGTGAGCATGTACACTGGACGTATGAAGAGGTTTTCGCTGCACACCAGACACTGAGGATGAGTTGAATAACTAAGTAATGACCGTGGCATTTTGAATTGCACGTCTTAATCATGTGTTTGGCCCCTGTATTAATGTCATGTGGAGTTTGAGTATGATCTAAAAGACAGACTTTGTTCAGCTCACGGTCATTACACTGAGCTGGTGAAACCCTGTAGAGCTCACTGAGTCTCTAACTCAGTGAGCTCAGGGCTACAGTACTACTGTGACTGTTTTATTGAAGGGTACCGTTGTTCAATGCTCAAGAAAAAAAATAGATCATTTAAAGTATTTATTATAAATAGTGTATAATACAATGGAGCAAACAGAGAGTACATTTTTGTTTAAAAACAAATGACCCCAGGAGCCAATTAAATGTATTATTGATATCTATTTGCAGAATGGATTTGGGTGGGTTCATGGGGCAGATGTGGCCCCTGGTCAGGAGTTTGAGAAAGATAAAGAAGATTTTGTTCTAACTGTCTATTCCTATCCACCCGGTTACACGGCACTCGTTTATCCTTGGTCACGACATTGAACTCTCAGGTTCCTCTGTAGCCACTGACTAATGAGTGTGAATGTATTCACTGCTTACTACTGACCAGTCAACCTGAACGCCATGATTGCCTTTACGTCCAGACGCAGCCAAACAGACGATGCTGCTGATGCTGCTGCTGCTGCTGCTGCTGCTGCTAGCACATAGACACATAAAGGCTTCCAGATGACCACCTGCTACATGTTTTCTTTTGCCTCCAATCTTCTTCTATGGATGCTGGCGCATCCCGCTTGTCCCAAGCGTTATTACCTCTAAGGATGTGGAACAGTAATTCCATCTACTCACACCTTCTCCATTACGCCACTCGTTCTCAAGGGATGCTCAGTGACCTTGGAGGCTCTCATTAATGTATTCTGCACGTGTATCCAGCCGCATTACTGAGCTGCAATGTCTATCTCCTTTAAGCTCATATGGACTTTGCCATTTTGGGCCTAATGCACGGTGATGACCTCATTATTGGCTGCTGCTGAGCATTTTGAGTGTGTGTGTTTTTTTGTTGAGACACAGCAACATTTGCAGTTTTGCATCCCTATCAGCCGTACCTGCTTAGCTAGAACCAACCAAATAATATCAGTTTTTTAAAATGCATTATAAAATATAAAATCCGTAATTTAGTGTTTCCCACATACAATGATTTATTGGACAAAAATTGCCAACTAAATTCACATTTGTCCAGTTCTGTTCTGACAACCAATCCCTGTCAGTGGGGGTGTGGGGTGGTCTGTAGCCAGCCCCAGCAGACCTCAGCCAAGTGATGGGGTTCACAGGGAGAAATTACAAATATACTAACAGAAACTAGTGAATACCAGTGAACCAGTGTCCTTTTCAGGGTTAGCTTTCAGCTCACGTCCATGTGCTTTTATTGGCACTTTTAGCTGCAGCTTTGAAATCGACATTTCTTCTGTGATATTTATCCCTGTTGAAAAGATCATATGTCTCTATTTAGTCCCAAATATTTACCAGTTAACTGAGAGAATGAACCGCCCACAAATATAACCATTAGGACTTTTCAGTCATTGTTTATGTCCAACCAAACTATTGGTGGTGCAGCCCAGTGTTTTTGTTACTTTTAGGGTTTTTTTTAGCATTTTTGGTGTAGTACCTCATTGAAATCCACTGAGGAGCTTGACTGTGGTTGGACTGTCCTTCTGTGACAGAACTGAGTGTGGAGTCCTGGTTTTAGAGCCCGCTGTCTAGAGATGAAACAGACGAAAGAGAGAGAGAGAGAGAGTGTGTGTGTGAGAGAGAGACCTCGGGCTTCAGACAAGCCTTCTGTCTTCACAGAGGGGTGAGGCAGCTGGGACTGTCTACCGGTCGTCAGTCAGGATTTGGTGCAGATACCTGCCAGTCTGGTTCAACCAGCCCTGCAGGGAGAAAGAAAAAACAGAAAAGACAGTTAGAGCAGCTGCTACCTGTCTTTTTCTTGCCACTATTTATTTTCCTGCCTGCCATCTTGTTCTGCTGGCTTCAGCGTCCTCAGTGTCCAGACCAATTCAGAGGCAGATACGTCCAATTACAGCCGTTGGTATTTAGCCACAGTAGTGACACTGGTTTACAAACAGCCAGCAGAGTCATTAGTGGGGGTTTGAGTCTGCAGTGGTGAATTAGGTGAAATTGAATTGAAATTGAAATATTAGTAGGAACCTGCAGGCTCCATGTTAATGCCAGGTGTTGTTGAACACATGACACCTGTGATCAGGCATTGTTATGGAGAGGAAGTAACCAGGCAACTGGGCAACAGCTGAGGTGATGAGGTCATTTTAGTTTTGGGTTCTGGGTCTAGGTTGTGGCTGAGATCCCACAGCTGTGTGTATATATATATGTGTGTGTGTGTGTGATCTTTACTGATCTGATCATCACTCTGGCTCACCCTCATGTTTTTGTTTTCTTTTTTAGCAACAGAGTCTTTTATAAACAGGACAGGGAGGAGGGATACACACACACACACACACACACTTCTACAGAAGTCCCTCCCTCTCTCTCTCTCTCTCTCTCTCTCTCTCTCTCGCTCCCTCCCTCTTACACACACAGGTAAAGGGCGTATCTTATTACGTCACACAGGCTGCATTGATGATGAGACGTGCGGAAGGAGTTGTTGTCACTGTGTCAGGTTTTCTTGCCTGTCGGTTTGGAGCGGAGTTTTTGAGTGGATTATTGTAGTCCTGGCTGAAGGGATTCTTTCCCCCCCCTGGAGTTTATATAAGAAGGTACTTTAACAGAAATAACCAGCTGTACAGAGATGTGGAATGCCCAGCACTGAGCTGCGGCAGAACCCAGGTAGGTAGCAGTGTTTCACAGGTGCTTTGTGTGTTTGGTTGTTAGAAAGCTGCTGAAGCACATTCACAGTACTTTCAGTATTTTTAGAATTTCCCTGGATTTTTTTTAAGACGGTTTCAACAAGCTGCTGCTGTGCTGCTCCTGCCTACCACTGACACAGTTTCATTCCAACTCCCACCTTTTTCCTCCCTCTCTCCCTCCCTCCACTCTCCACTGTAGGGGAGTCAAGCCAGGAGCTGGGCCCCCCTCCGTCGGTGGATGAGGCAGCCAACACATTGATGACGCGCCTGGGTTTCCTTCTGGGAGATAAAGTGAGTGAGGGGCCCGCTAGTACCCAGTACAGCATGGAGGAACCTGAGGCAAGACAGGTAATGACACACTCACGAAGAAGAAGATCTTTTTTTTATTTTTGACTCAGGTCTGATCTGAGGCCAGAGTGAAGCACAAACACTGGATTTAAAATTCTGTCTGTTAAAATTCAAATGCTTTTAAATTGAAAAGACTTAATTAATGGGAATTAATTGGTCCATAGATTGGAGCAATGTTCTCAATCTAATTATCTTTATCTGCTCTTAGACCTTATGTTTGGGAACCTTAACAAACACAGTCTCACTCAGATCTGATGACTTTCAGATTTGCCTCCATGATGTCATTGTTTACAGATTTGATCAAAAGTCTCCTGTGTGAACCAGACTCAGCTGTTATCACTATCTACCAGATCTGAACAGATATTCAAATGTATTTCCAGTTTCTTTAATCTCAACAATGAAAATGAGAAATATCATCCACTCATAGCTGAAAAACCTTTAGCTCCAGCAAATTCTCTGTCATTACCACCAAGTGTTTCAAAGATAGTTTTGCAAAGGGTTTTTCTGTTTTAGGATTATTTACAAGTTTGTACTAATACTTTTTCCCTCAAGATAACGGAAAGGTGAAAACAGCAACACTGCCTTAGTGAATAGATATGATTTAGGGATCCATTAAAGTGGATCGTATTTAATGTAAAAGATATTCAATAAATTCATAATTAAAAATACTCTGAATATCAGAGCCAAAATATTAAGTGAAAATATAACAGGACTGCTCTGTGATTGTGGGAGTACTAGTAGATCCTGAGCAATTGAAATAAAAGGATGTCATTCTATTTTTAGATGAAATCTCAAGGTTTCAGTATTGAATCATATTGTGCCGTGATGTACTGTTATGTTCATGTAGTCAAAGTTCATCAACGTGTCATGTGCTGTATATATAAAGTATATGTGGTTTATATGAAAATGTAAATATATATTTAATCTTTTCAGTGTACAAATTGGTCAAAGTTAAGTTTGATGGGCCCATAGAGTAAGAGTAGTACACTGCAGTAGTACACAGTTATGATTTAAGGGCCTGATCAGACACTGGGTCTTACTTTGCCCTCAAAATGTTTTTTTTAATTATTTGAAACACAATGGAATTGTTAAGTTGACAGGCAGTGGCTTTGGCTAAACAGCTCCTGGTCCAACAATGACAGGGGCAGAGAAAGATTTGCGAG